TTGAGTTGTGGTGCTGGCGAAGAATGCTGAAGGTACCATGGACTGCCAAAAGAACTAACAGATCTATCCTGGAAGAAGTGCAGCCAAGATGCTCCTTGGAAGCGAGGATGGCCAGACTTCATCTCACCTACTTTGGTCATGTTGTCAGAGGAGACCATTCCCTGGAGAAGGATGTCATGCTTGGTAAGGTGGAGGGTCAAGGAAAGAGGGGAAGGCCTTCGATGAGATGGACTGACATGGTGGCTGCAACAATGGGCTCAAGTATAGTAAGGATCATGGAGCTGGCGCGGGATCAGGTGGTGTTTCGTTCTGCTGTGTGTGGGTTTGCACATTTGATGGAAGCAACTCAACGGCACCTGACAACAACATAAACAGTGTTGGGTTGATTTGACATCTACATGGAAAAAATGAATCCCTACCTCACACTATAAACAAAAAATAACTCAGAATGGAGGATAGACCTAAATGTAGCTAAAATAATAAAACTTCTAGGAGAAAATCATAGTTGGGTTTAGCAAAGAATTTTTAAACACAAAAATATGAGCTATAAAAGAAAAGAAATTGGTAAATTAGGTGTGGCCAAAATTCAAAACTTGCTTCTCAAGAGTTATGAAAATGAAAAGTCAAATTGCCTTCTATGGAAATGAAAATGAAAATTAATTGACATTGTATGGAAATCCAAATTAAAACCACAATGAGATACAACTACATATTCACTAGAGTGGCTAAAATTAAAAAGGTTTAGCATACCAAGTGTTGGCAAGGATGTAGATGAACAGGAAATTGAATTCACTGTTGGGAGATACAAATATATACACCCACTGCTGTCAAGTCAATTCTGATTGATATCAACCTCAAAGGGAAGAGTAGAACTGCCCCATAGGGTTTCCAAGGCTGTAAGAAGTTTTGCTTATCATATGACCCAGCACTTGCACTCAGACATTTTCTCAAGAGAAATGAAAGCATATGTCCACACAGACTTGTACACTGACATTCCTAAGTTTTATTTATTATAGCCTCAAAAGTGGAAATAACCAAATTTCCATCATTAGAATGGAAAAACACATTATGGTTATTTCTATACATTGGAGTATTACTGATCAATAAAAAGGAATGAACTATTGATGCATGCAACGTGAATCTCAAATTATGCTGAAAGAAGCAATTGGGGGCGGGGGAATACATACTGTATTAATTCCATTCCTATAAAATTCTAGAAAATCCAAACTAAACTATGGTGATAGAAACAGAGGAAACTTCTGAAAGTAATGGATATTTTCACTATCTTGGATTTCTCATATGAAATTGTCCATTTAAAATAATGCAGTTTATTTTTGTCAATTATACCTCAATAAAACTGTTGCAGAAAAGTTTCTAGGAGGTAGTGCTACTATGAGGCTGTGCCCCAGATTGTGAGCTCCTCTGGATCCAGGTCTGACCCCTTGCAGGAGGCTGGATTGACTGGCAAGTCCCCAAAGAGGCCCAAGTGTCTTCTTCTTCTTCTTTTTCAAGGATCTCAGCTCACTTCCATTTACATATTCATTACAAGTGTTCTCTACTCCCAGGTGTCTTTTTGTAAAAGACCTGTGGGGTCAGAAATCCCAAGTGGATATGATGGTAGTTAACTAGGTAGTTCTGGCAGGCAGGGCTGACTTCATTTCCTTCCACTGCCCCAACACAGGGTGTTATCGTTTAAATATAACAAACTCTGCCCTGCTTCTGGGAGCTCTGGTAGTGTAGTGCTTAAGGCATTTGACTGCTAACCAGGAGCCTGAGGGTTCAAACCCACCAGCCACTTCTTGGAAGGAAGATTGGGCAATATACCTGGTTTTAGTTTGGTCCTGCTTCTACCCCACATACCTTCATGTGGCTAGGAGTCTCCTGATCATTCAGATCTTAGCATGAATGTTAACTGACCTCACTGAGCACTATGTCTAAATTAGTTCCTTCTTTCGTCTGCATTTCTGTTTTATTTTCCTTACTGCATATATCACAACTAAAAATTCTTATTCATTTAGTTATTTCACTTTTATGGTTCATTTGCTTCCTCCCTTCCCATGCTGTTGGTGCCACACCCATATCTCTTTTACTGGTAGTGCACCCACCCCACAGGTGCCACAACTGGTGACTGATAACGCACAGCTGCTCCTGCTAACAACTGACTGAAAAGGTAGCGAGGAGGGTACAAAAGGCTAGCCCTCTTGCCTTAAACCACTGCCACTAATTCCAACTCATAGTGATCCTATAAAATAGAATAGTAAAATTACCTCACAGGATTTCCAAAGCTGTGAATGTTTACGAAAGCAGACTGCTTCATCTTTCTCCCACGGAGCAGCTGGTGGGTTCAAACCACCAACCTTTCAGTTAGCAGCCAAATGCTTTAACCACTGCACCATCAGAACTCCTTGGCTCACTTGCCTTAAAGGCACCGAACTCTGCAATTCAACTTCTCAGAACTCCCTGTGGGATCAGGCTGAGGCTAGTCTCCAGTTCAGACTACATTTTTGTTTTAGCTTTTCCCCCAACCCTGTCCTGCTTCCCTCACCCCTTTCTCCTAAAAACCCACCTCCAATAAATCAATTGCTTTCTAGGGAATGACCTATGAACCCTACATCTTCTTGTTCATGCCCCAGAACAAATTCCCATCTCAGGCTCTGCTTATGATCCATTCACCACCATCTCTCTCTCCCTCTCTATCACTCTCTCACATACACACACATACACTCAAGAATGGTAGCTTGATAAGGGAATATCTTTTTTACTTCCTTAGAACAATGCCTGGAATACGATAAATGCACTGAATGAATGAGGGGAGAGCCCACCATCTATTTTACAGTTCAGCTGACAACACCCCTGTTGTGCTGGGATAGAGGCATTATGAGTCATAGCTGGTGGAGATGAGCTGAGTGGTCCAGAAATGGCGCTAGGCCTGGGACAGCAGCTTGGCACTGCCACCACATCTTCCAGGTGAGGCACAACATGCAGTGAATATTTGTAGGGAAAGGTCGTCCAGGAAAACCCAACCTCAAGGGTGGGTCTGGCTCTACCTCTTGAGTCCTCTGTGGGCTTCCAGAAATGATCCTCCTGAATTAGATCTAGGTGATGGTACCACCCTGCTAGGTATGAAGAAAAGTGTATGTTTAATCAACGGAGGCATGACAGAGGTAACCCTACCTCAGTTCTTTCACATTTCATTGTGCATGGGGAGAAGAGGAATTTTGAAAAGAATCCATTATCCACTTTCTCAGACAACAGAATAAGCACCTTCTGGGAAGGGGGTGGTGGTGGCTTGTTACTATCTGAACTTTAGCTTCCTTGAGGATGCATTTGGCTTGGGGCAAAAGTCTTGTCTGGTCTGTACAAACCCTATTACTTTGAGCTCTAAGTGTAGGTCTTTGCCCATGGCACATGCCGCCAAGGTGTCACTGAGTCCAGTGGACTGTGATGTGCACACACTTGTCTTTCTAAGTGGACAACGAACATTTTGAGGGTGGGCACTGGTGGTGTTAGGACCCTCTACCCAGACCAGGGCTGGCACAGAGTAAAGACTCCAGTAAAGACTCAAATAACTGAGTGGTGAGGGCAATAGTGGTATAGGTTATGCTAGACATCCTACCAGATACTTTTCAAAGTACAGGTCTAACCCTGGATTCAGCAGTTTCTCTTACCTTCAGAATGAAGTCTCAACTTCTGAGCCTGTCTGCACAGTACCTTCACAAAATGCAAAAAAGGTCACATAGGTCCACCTTTTCAGCTTCCTCTTCTGTGATCCAAGCGCCCTACATCAACTCTACCTCCAAGTTCTTCCTTATATGGGGAAAATGCAGTCTTACCCAGCTCTTCACTGTTGTCTAGAAGTGGTCCTCCGTACCCACCCCTCAATACACCTGGCAAATTCCTACTTATCCTTGAGTCTTTGGGGAAGGTGGTTTCAGCGAGACCGCAGCTAGTGAGTATGCAGGGATGCCCTGAGTGATCAACAGCTGATCAACCCCCAGCACCACCAGCAGGGCTAAACCTTGACCATGCGGCCTCACGACTGTAGGGGTACAGACTGCCCCGCTCACTTGGACTCTTGCCCTCCCCGCAGTGCCCCTGGCTCTCCTTCAGCATTCCGGACACAAGGGCTCTCGAAGCAAAGGCGTGGCCCAGGTGGCCAGTGCCCCTACAGCTCCTCTGGCCTCCTGTGCACCTGACTTGGCTGCCCAGACTCCGCCCTGGAGATCTTTGGGGCTCCGATCGCAGGCCCAGCTGGCCGCTTGTGGGCGCAGCTACGGCAGTTTTGGGCCGACCACTTTACCCGGCGCTTCTCGCCGCGGCGGCCACCACTACGCCACATGTCCTCCATGTCCACCTTCTACCAGCTGGACCACCGCGTTCGCCAGGCCGAGCTGGGCCTCTGCTACGGCGCGCCACGCACGCGCCTTAGTGATGAGGCTTTCGTGTTCCGCGGCGGCCGCTGGGCAGCCGAGGGTTCAACCGGGAGGTCGCGGCCGCCGCTGCCCTCCCCGCCAATCTCGGGCTTGAAGGCGCACGTGCAGCAAGTCAAGAGCCAGGTGCTGTTGGAAGAGAACAACTACCTGAAGCTGCAGCAGGAACTTCTTATGGATATGCTGACTGAAACCACAGCGCGCTTGCACGTACTAGAGAAGAAGCTGGACGCTGGGGGTAGCGGGTCTGTCGGGCCGCGCGCCTGGAAGAAAAAGCTGCACAAGCCCAGGGCGTCGGCCGCGAGCTCATGATCAAGCCGCGCGCTCGAGGCTCGGTGACGCAATAAAGCTCTACCCTACGCATCGCGCCTAGTTCCTTGTCGTGGCCCCTGGTGGCTGTGGGTCGAGCCCTTCTACCGCCTTGAATGTCGGATTCGCTGGGACTCTTACTCAGGTGCAGGCCAAGCGCTGATCTGAGTTCCCGGGAGATAGGCCAGGCTGTGTGCGTTCAAAGGCCATCCCTCAGGGCCGGTGGACACTGATCTGAGTGGCCTGTCTCGGGAGGGTGCAATGGGGGCGGTGGGCAAGGTTTCTGCGTGGCCTGTGGGAATCGTGGAAGTGGGAGTCAGGCATCAAAGGGCAGTGCCTAGGGGCATGACAGGTGGTGGTTCTCTGGGCCCAAGAAACCAAGGACGAGGTTCAGGGTCCGAAAGGCCTTCTTGGGTGCTCAGGGAATGGAGGGCGGTGACGCAAGTAGATTGGTTGTGTGGGTCCGGACTTCGCACTTGTCCTCTGGGACCTGGAGGCGCAGGGGAAGCATATTTTAAGACCCAAGAAACTATCCCAGAGAGGCCTTTCTCAAAACCTGGTCCTTTTTCTCGATAGAATGACAGGTCTGTCTGCTCCAGGGTACAAACCAGCACTCTGCAGGGGGAATCCAGTCCACAGATAGGTTTTGTTCAACCCCGTTTTTTTTTTTTTTTTGGAGGGGGTATGGCTATCTTTTTCCAAATTAGCCCACCACCGTTAAGATAAACTCATTGCTCCCTAGGCCAAACTCCACATTTAAAAAAAATTTCCATTAGTTGTCAAAATTAAAATTTTAGAGATTCCACATAAAGATACAGATTTCCTGTTTCTCTTGAAAAATTGGAGAGCTTGACCACCTTGGACCTTCATACTCAATAGTGGTTGGCTTCAGCCTATTGTGGCTGTCACTTGGCCAGCTTCACTCTTTTTCTACTGTAGGTGTCTTATTTTGAATACCCATCTTGATCAGTATTCTCTCCTGGGACTCTGATTTCCCTACTCCACACACATATATGCACATGTTATTACATAGAGTGTTGCTAAGGGGAATGTGTTGAACTTGTGGAGACACTGGTCCTTACAATCTGAAATCTTCTACTTGGAATGTAGGCAGGCAATTTAAGCATCCAAGGCAATCCATGCCCCTCTATAGGACTTGGTCCTTCTCTTTAATGTCATTGAGAAGTCTGAGAGAGAATATGGGTGTCCTGCAGCAACCTGACTTGCTTTCAGAAATAGATTGCCAACCCAACCAACCATCAGATTCTGACACATAACAACTGTACAGGACATTAGTAGAACTAGAGGTTACTAAATCACAATTTTGTATAAAATGCCTTATTAAATCTGCAAAACATTTCTTTGGACACTAAGCTTTAAAAAATGACATTGCTTTAGAGCAGTACTCTTGCATTATACTAATACTGTGTGTTAGTATAGATTAAGCAAAAATACTCCAAATAGCTATAATGGTTGTAAATAAATTGCCCTTTTAAAAATTTTAGAAAAATTGCCCTTTTTCTAGTAAAAAGAAGGAAGTTGATTTACATAAAAATGAAGTAAAAATTAAAGATAGTATGGGAAAATAGCAAAAATTATAAAGGTGAACCAAGAATGCTTAAAGTTTAGGGAATATTGCTTTGTCCACAGCACTTGAAAATAAATTGTGGTCCTAGGGTAGAGAAAACTATCTGTCATGCCAGGCAGGGGGCAGAAGGCCCCACAGTCCATGTATACCCTGCTTAGGGAGGTGCAGCCAAGTGGATTCAAGGCCCAAATTAAATGGGGCACGATAATATTTTGAGATATCTGACTTTGTTTTTTCTGCGATGGAATTTCACTCCCTGGCTTTGCCCCCTGATTGAGGCAGCCAAGCTCATTGCCCCAGGGAAGGGATGTGACAGAGCAGAAAGCAGGAACAAAAGACTCTTTGTGGCTTTTACCTCCTGCTCAGGAGCAGTTTTGCAAAAATATTTTTGGGTTTGAGTGGGGAGGTCAAAACGGCTGTAGATTTATGTGCAATGAAAGGAGAGATGAAGAGAAATAAGAGCAGAGGTAGTGGTAGGTCTCCTGGTCTCCCATCTTGGGAAAAAATCCTTTCTTGACAACACATTTCCTTCTAGCTACTGCTCCATTTCTGTGTTCCCCTGTATAACTAAACTCCAGAATATTTCTTATACTTGCTGTCTCCAATTCTTCCTCTCCTGTTTGCTCTTAAACCCATTCAATTTGGGATTTTTCACTCACCTTTCCTCCCAAACTGCTTTCATCAAGGACCCCATGCCCCTCCACATTGTTGGGTCCATTGGCCAATTCTCAGTCCTTGTCTTACTTGGCCTTTCTATGGAACAACAACAACATGGAATTAATTAACTCCTTCTACTGCTTTAAATATTTCCTTTAGCTTTGAGAACACTACACTCCCCAATTTCCCTCTGCCTCGTGGTAGCTGCTTCACTTGTTTCTTTTGCTCATTTCACTCAGTTTAATTTCCTTCAAATCTCTGCCTAAATATCACTTCTTTGATGAGGTTTCCCTAATGACCTTATTTAAAATAACATATCTTCTTCCCACCCCAACCAAACCAGCACAACTTACCTTTTCTTTATTTTTGTCTAGCATCTACCACCATTTGACATACTGTGTATTTTATTTACTTACTGTCTCCCTGCACTAGAATGTGAGCTCTATAAAAGCAGAAGTTTTTGTTCTGTTCTCTGTTATATCTGAGTCTAGAACAGTGCTTAGCACTTGTTAGGGGTTGAATTGTGTCACCCCCCCAAAAAAAATGTATGTTGAAGTCCTCACTCCTGATACTTGTGAATGTGACCTTGCTTGGAAATAGGGTCTTTAAAGATGTTATCATATTAACTGGTCCCATTCCCATCTGAGTGCTGTTCTTATAAAAGAGGAGACATAGAGAGACACACAGAGGAAAGAATGGTCATGTGAAGATGCTTCTACAAGCTAAGGAACACCTGCGGCCGGTGGAAGCTGGGAGAGACAAGAAAGTTTCTTCCCATAGAGCCTTCGGGGGAGCATGGCCCAGATGACATGCTGATCTGGACTTCTAGCCCCCAGAACTGGGAGCCTACACATTTCTGTTCTTTTAAGGCACCCGGGTTGTGGCATTTTGTTACAGCAACCCTAGCAGTCCCTGGGTGGTGCAAACAGTTAATGTGCTTGGCTGCTAACCAACAAGGTTTGAGTCTATCCAGAGGCACGTTGGAAGAAAGACCTAGAAATCTGCTTCTGAAAAATCAGTCATTGAAAGCCCCATGGAGTACATTTGACTCTGACACACATGGGGTCACTATGAGTTGAACTTGACTCTAGGACAACCGTTTACTATTTATAAAACTAATAACAGGTGTTCTCCCCAGCCCCAACCAAACCAGCACAAATTATTCTCTTTTCTCCTTTATTTTATTCTAACATCTATCACCATTTGACATGCTAAGTATTTTACTTAGGAGCCCTGGTGGTGCCGTGGTTAAGCTAATCAGCTATTAATCAAAGGGTTGGTGGTAAACCCACCAATTGCTCTGGCAATCTGCTCACAGCCTAGGAAACTCTATGGGGTAGTTCTGCTCTGTCCTATAGGGTCACTGTGAGTTGGAATCTACTTGACAGCACACCACCACCACCACATATTTTATTTACTTACTATCTGCCTCCTCCACTAGGATATAAGTGCCATAAGTGCAGAAAGCTCCATAATTTTTGCTCTATTTTCTGCTGTATATCAGTGTAGAACAGCGCTTAGCACTTATTAGGCTCTTTCTAAATATTTCTTAAATGAATAAAGGTTCATAAGAGACAGGGGTCTGAATCTTACTTTTTAGATAGATGGAGAGAAGAAGACAGTGTTTGGCCCTTGACATTGTCACAGATTTCTGAGCCCTAGGAGTCAAAAGAACTCTGGTGGCACTGTGGTAAGGCATTCAGCTACTAACCGAAAGGTCAGTGGTGTGAACCCACCCAACTGCTCCACGGAAGATGAGGCAGTCTGCTTCTGTACAAATTTAAAGCCTTAGAACCTTACAAGGGTCACTATGAGTTGGAATTGACTCACAGGCAGTAGATTCTTTTTTAGGAGGCAGGGAAGGAGTCCCTGGTGGGACAAACAGTTACATGCTCAGCTACTAACCAAAAGGTTGTCAGTATGAGTCCCCCAGAAGCACCTTGGGAAAAAGGCCTGGTAATCTACTTCCAAAAAATCCACCATTGGAAACCCTGTGGAGCACAGTTGTACTCTGACACACATGGGGTTGTCATGAGTCAGAGTCAACTCAATGACAACTGTTGCTAGGTAATTTGGAAGCTTGTGCCTGATGGTTGTTCTTGTATATGAACACATGTACCTTGTGCATCTGTGCACATGTGTGGGACAGAACTATTACAGAGGCCTGGTGGCAACCAGAGGAAACTATGGCAGGGACCAAAGATCTACTCGTGCCTGCTTGGCCGCTGGGAACAGTGCAAACAAGAAAGCTTGTGCTGAGGCAGGATAAGCAGAGGCTTGCAGGGCCATGGGAGCAGGATCACCAGAGGCTAGGGTTGGAGAAGCACAAGCCCTTGGCCTCTTGGGAGCCCTCACCAATGTTTTGTCTGTTTCTTTCTGACCCCTCTGGTCAGGTATCCAACCTGGCTCTAATCAGCCAGAGCTGAAGGAAGTTGGTCATCTGGACCCCTGTGCACATCACAAGGGCTGTGGGTAGGTATTAGTTTTCTGAGATCCAGCCTTTTCTCGGGCTACACCAGCAGTCCAACAGGCTGAGGTGCCTGCCCATCCTCTGGGAGAAGAGAAAAAGGGAGCAGGTGAGCTTGGGACTCTACAGAGAGAAAATGAAAACCCAGTCAATGGCTAGAGGTACACAGCACTGAGGAGGACCTATCTATGTTCTTAGACACAGAAGGTGAAGGGCAGCTGAGGCTGGCAGGGCTGGAACTCAAAAACCTTGAGTAGATCTTTAAAAAGACTTAAGAGGTATCAGCCAGTA